TGGCTTTGCCATCTGGACAATGGCAGCCAGCGTGCTGGCTTACCCACGTCAACTATGATGCTAGCCAGCGTGCTGGCTTTGCCATCTCAACAATTGCATCACCACATGCCGCACTGCAGACTGAACAATAACGTGTGAATCATCTGCCTCTGGTCATCCTGGTTGACGCTGAAGAAGTGGTCGTCAACAATGCCAAGGTTCCCTGGCATGATGGCTGGGCAAAGAGGAATAAGAAGGCTCTGGTTCATGTGCGATTGCAAAAGCTTGTGGGTTGCGTGAACCTTCTTCCAAGTATATTCGTCACTGCTGTTGAGTAGATATTTTAGTATAAGCAACCACTATGCTTGTCATTGAGTAATTGACTGTCTCAGAGAAAAACGCGACAAAGTAGCGTGAAGTGACACACAGCAGGCACTGTAGATGTTTTAGCGCACTCTCGTTGTTCGGCTCGCGACTAGTCTTTGTACACAGCAAGGATAGCGTTGTGCTTCCGCAGAACGACGTCCACACAGAATATATCAGGAAGAAGTCACGGTATGAGACACACAGTTGGTTGGGTCTAGCTCGTCCACCCGAAGCAGATCTGGATGGTGTAGGCATCTGTGAAGTTGCGGCTGTTGTTCCTAACCCAGTCTTCCCATCCACTGGACCACTGGACCACTCGCCAAAACTGCCAGGTTTCTCCATGGGCAACCCAGCATCTGGTTGCTATGGACTGGTTTGGCCATCTTTCATGGATGAGCTCTGGCTGGTCGTCATGGTATGTCCTGCTGCCATAGGACCAACAGAGGCACACCTGTCTCTGGTTATCCAGGTTGGTATACAAGAAGTGGTCGTCAACAATGCCAAGGTTCCCTGGCATGATGGCTGGGCAAAGAGGGAGACCTACGAGCTAGTGGGCTGTAAAGTAGTAAATAGCGCATGCATAGCCATAAGAAGGCTCGGTTTGCCTGGTAAAGGTTTATGTGGGAAATGAATATTGCAAAAGCTTGTGGGGCGCGTTCAAACTTCTTGCTAGTATATTCTTCATTGCTGTTGAGTTGATATTGTGGTAGTTGGCCCAAGTTGTATGGAGACTTTTGCAATGTCACTGTGAGCCCTGAAAGGCCAGTCACGGAAAACGCACAGTCTGTTGGCACAGGCGCTCTGAGGGTGACATGTGCTTCGCTCTAGATGTAGTTGAGAACCACTATGCTGCTCATTTTCCAATCGCCTCTCCCACAGAAACATGCAACAAAGTAGCACGAGGTGACACATAGCAGGCACTGCGCATGTTTTCGTATGCTCGGGTCGTTCAGCTCGCGACTAGCCCTTGTATAGGGCAGAGACTCCCCGACACTATGTCTATACTGGTCGTGCTTCCGCAAAACGACGTCCACACAGGATTTGTAAGGAAGAAGTCGTGGTATGAGACATGCAGTTACCATGTGAACATCTAGGTGACACCCTGCGTCGGGGAGACTCTCACTGCGTTGTCCGCTCCGGAGACACGGCGGCGACCATCTGGGCCAACTGGGCGGCGTCGAAGGTGCCATCTGGTGACACATCCGCCAGTGGGATGCGGAGCGGGGGGTCCACCTGAACAAACCTGCCAGTCTGGTCGTGGTAGCCGCTGAGTTCGATGCAATCGGGCGGCATGGTATTTGCAGCGCGGGCCGCTTCCCACGACCGCCCAAGACGCTGGCATGGTCGACAGAGAAGGTGATCGGCATCGCACTGGGTACAAACGGCGTTGCACGGCCGCAGCGAACAAGCCTCGCACCAGGAATGCGTCCACTGCCCGCAAAGTTCGCAAGGTTGGGCTCCGAGGTCTCGTCCGGGCAAGTTTTCAGCCGCAGTGACCAGCGCAAACGCCGCCCTCTTGGGAAAAGATCGCTGGCGCTCATCGCGTGGCACTCCGCGATGGTCGTCGCGCGGATGTAGGCGCAACCAAACCTTCGCTTCCGCCACCCACGCTTCCCAGGCCACTGGGCGCAGGGCAGTCATGGCGCGGCGGCGTGGTGAGAGGAATGACGACGAGGTGTGCTTACAAGTGACTGGCTGCGAAGCACCGGAACCCAGTTTCCAAGTAGCACTGACGCAGCGCACAATCGTGTGTACTGTGGTATTCGTCTTCGGCCCTCGCCCGTCCTCGCCTTCTTGTCGAAGAGCACACCTGGCGAGAAAAACAAGAGGGTTGGCGAGAAACCTCTCAGATGTCTCTTGTGCTAGGCTGTTTCATGAAGCTCAGTGTGGCACCGCGCCGATGAATTTGTCTTCGTCTTCTGCCCTCGCCCGTCCTCGCCTCCTGGTAGAAGAGTACACCTGGCCGGAAAAAAACAAGAGCTTTGGGGAGAAACCAAGAAGATATCTCCTATGCTAAACTATTTGCTGAGATTAGAGGCTGAAGCTCACGGCGGCGCCGCGCCTATTTTTGTTTGCCTGCGCCGTCTAGTCCGCGCGACGACACTTCTGCAGAACAGCGTCCATGCCGTCGCGGTGATACATTTTCGCAGAGCGGCGTCCATGTCCCGAGCCTCTCAGAGACTCAAAGCCGCGTGAGCGTGCTTGGA